TTTATTATTCAATGATGATGTTCAATCAACATTTATCAATCATTGAGTATCCATATCTTTTTGAATTGGATCTTGTTGACGCTCATGATGATTATATCGAACAATTTCTTGTTGATACGAAAACCTGTTTACCAAATGGTGTTTATCTTTCTGTTGATTATCAAGCATTGAACAGAGAGACACAAGAATTTACAAGAAATACAACACGATTAAATTGTATAAAACTACGTTGTTTAGGTCTAAATGGTATATGTGAAATTCCTAAATATGTAAAAGAATATTTTCCTCATACAAAAATATTGTGATTGTTGTTAATGATTATTTAAATAAAATATTTTTAAAGGCGATTAATCTATATAGTATTAAAACATTGTGAAATTGAAAGAATAAAAGAGAATTCGGATGTCGAAATGAATTTCAAAGCAAATATTTGATTATCTCTTATCAAATATTCTTTGAAGAAATAAAAAAATAAAGATATAGAACAATGAATGTCTAAAGTAACAAAAATAAAAGTTGATTGAACATCATCATTGAATAATAAATGAACGAGAGAAAATAATTTATTTTACGGAATAATAACTAGGAAAAGAACATTATCATTTCAATTGATGAAAGTCTTACTATATTCTGGTTCCCCCCTGTTGGTGATTATGTAAGCTACTATCTTGTCATGTACTGTTCTGAATGTGCCTTTTTTTAAAATTTTATCTTCTCTTTTATTTGTCAACCCATATATTAAATGTTACAAATGCTTATGTTGAAAAAAATGTTACTATTTTGTTATGTATTGGACGTTGTTTTTACTATTGTTCATTTTAAAGTTCTCGTAAAGCATTATTTAATTTCGATCTAATCTTTTGATTTAATTCATTTAATGTATCATATCGAACATCATTCCTATAAAAAAAAGAACATGTACCAATAAGTAAGATAGATAAGAAATTTTTAACTTACTGCTGTTCATTAATAAAATTTTTATATTGAATAGCAAATGTTTTATATTGTCCGTTTTCGTTAAACTATATACAAAAAAAATTAAAAAATAAATATAAACTGAATATGTTTACCTGTAAACGGATTTTGAAGATATCTGCTTCAAAATAATGTATTGTTTCCAGACTAATGTTTCCTTTCAAATAGTGTATTTTTACCGAACCATCTTCATTTCGATAGAAATTAAAGATTACGTTTTCCTATAATATAATAAAAAACAATAAACATCAATAGAAAAAGGTATAATTTGTTACGCTTTCGTCTTGATCTTTCACTGAAAAACCATAGTTGACCAATGACCAATGAGAAGTGAGAATTATTTTATCATAAAAGGTAAAAATTTTACCTTTGTATGTGTAAAACAAAAGTTTTAAGACGTTGGAATCCATTTTATCTATAAAAAATAGCACGATAAATCATGACTTATTTTATCTTTTTAAACTATAATGTAGAAATACGTCCAAAAGAACTTTTATCTTAAGGTAATGATCTAGAAAATGATATCAATAGCTAGAAAATCGAACTTTTTATATCTATTACATACACCATTTTTTATTTTTAAAAGTATATAGCATTTATATTATTGATAGAACTGCTATACTCTTTTATATTTTGTGGTTAGCATTTTAGGTAAAGACTTATCTACAGTACCTTTGTAGCCCTAAGAGAGGACTTAATGATAGCGAATCAATTCAATATATATGGCCTGACAAGAGAAAGAAAATCCAATGTAATGTTAACTTTTTATCTTATTTAGTGTTTGTTTTTAAAATAAATCTATACGCAAAATCATAATATCATATATTTTCGTTACCTTCAATCGAGTTTTCAACCATGAAACATGTGTTTCTTTTATCTGTATGGAGACTATTCTTAAAGGATGAGCCAAAAGTCTTGGCACTTCGTAGAAAAAATTCATTTTTCTTCCTTATAACAAATCGAGAAATACTCAAAGTTGGATAAATAGTCAATCAGTAGTAGACGATTATTATCTTACATTTTCANAACCTTGTTTGAAATTTCAATTTAGACTGTGCTACATAATTATAGTACGCAGATAGTGACTAAATTCTAAGAGAGCGACATACTCGTTCCGAAAAACTATTCCCTTCAAAAGCAATTTTTTTCTATGTTGTTGACCATGTATTTATCTTATCTGTTTGAAAGCACAATTGTTCTCGCCTCGATAAGCGAACGAACATTTAAGAAAAAAATTGCTTTTGAAGGGAATAGTTTTTCGGAACGAGTATGTCGCTCTCTTAGAATTTAGTCACTATCTGCGTACTATAATTATGTAGCACAGTCTAAATTGAAATTTTAAACAAGGTTGTTTGATCAAATCTTTATACGATCAAGTATGAAGATGACCTAGTTCGTTGTGTAAAATAGAAGATGTCGATGTTATTCTTCAGATATGCCTTACTTGACCTTACCAGCATCCCACCAAAATGTTAATTTGTACTATGAAGTCCACGGCTCGGGCCAAATCAAAGTCTTGTTTATCATGGGTCTAAGAACTGAGGGTCGAGCTTGGAAATATCAAGTGAGATGAAACATACGTTACTGATTTCACACGCATTTTCATTCTTCTTTTGTAGACTGATTTCTTTCGCGATAAACCCAATTATCAGGTAAGTGAGATATATAATGTAAATTAAGAAGTCAATGTGAATAGTGTGTGAGTTATGACAATCGTGGCTGTGGTCGATCATCAGCACCGTGGACACTCGAATATACAACAATTCAAATGGCCGAAGATGCCTTGGAACTGATTGATCATTTGCGTTGGTCTCAGTGTCATGTTGTGGGTGTCTCTATGGGTGGAATGATTGCATTAGAATTAGCTCTTTTGGCACCTCGTAGAATTCTCTCACTCACCCTTATGGCCACACACGCTGGTGGTTTGGTTGGTCAAGCACCGCTTATTGGCCTTCGTCATATTATGAAAACGTTCACTATCCGTGACGAAGATCAACTCGTAAACAATGCCTTGGCCATGCTCTACGGTCCAAAAACACTAAGCGATCCTGACAAACGACAGGTCAGTGGATATTAATGAAAACTAAACTTGCTCCTAACAAAACCATCCTTAAAACGTTCTTCCTTCTCTGTTCAATGATATTTAATGTTTTAGTATTTCTACGATTATCATCGCGAACGTTTCAAAACTCGTGTTCCCCTATCACCGGTCGGTATGTTCGGTCAGATGTTTGCCGTTCAACGACACTATATAAGCTATGCTGATCTATTAAAAATTCGCTATTCCAATTTTCCTTGTTTAATTATGGTGGGCACGGAAGATCGGCTCGTACGTGAAACTAATTCGTACATGTTACAACGAGTATGTTCTTTTCTTCTCTTCATCAAGTACTGTATTATATCTTAATTTAGACGCTTGGATGTCGTCTCGTCAAACTTGAACATGCAGGGCATGACTTGGGAGGAGAATGTGCCCAACAAGTCAATGAAGAATTATTAGGTAAGTCGAAAAGAATCCAACAATGTTTGTTTATTGCCTGAATAGCTTTGTTTGAATCAACCGATCTAAAAGATCATCCGTCAGACATATCAAGCGAATATGCAACAGAAGTGCGAGCAGTCGAACTTTGTTGTCAACATCGGACGCATTGTTTTATCCATAATCTTGTTGGTCTATTCAAAGTATGATCAGAGAAACAAGATTGTGTCTTAATTGACTTTCATTGTTAAGGGCATGATTCTCGGCTTAATTCTTTACTGTGCGTTGACCAGTGGCTTAACAAAGAGTCAATTAATAGGCATTGATCTATGCACTCGTTGTGTGATATTAATTGGCTGTTTGAGGTGCCAGTAAACGAATTATTTTTTTATTTTTCTTTCTTTGTCTATTTTGCAGTGGTTTGCGTCGATCGGTGTTATGCATCTTCAATGCATTTCTGGCGCGAAGATATGTAGAGAAACATCAGCTGTTGCTCAAGCGTGCCGCTGATCATGGTGGTATTGGAATTACTTTGCCTAGTCGACACAAGAAAGGCATACCGAATGGATGTGGTTTTGAGTTTCCTACCTTATCACTTATCTTCACCGTCTGTCTTCTCGGTCTTCTTTTGTGGACAAGACAATATGACTAATAAATCAAAGCTCTAGGACTTGTATAACAACTGTTAGAAGCAGTTAGTTCTATTTGATGTTACCTTGGATGAATTGATTAAAACTATCATTCTAGCACGTATCGTAACAGCATCTATAGTCATTTCAGAAAGCCAACGTTCGGTAAAAACAAACGAGTTTTCATTTAATATTCATTGATTCCATAAAGTTATGTATAATTCAACAAGTCAAGAAGTTCATATTGATTGTAAAATATCAAAAAAGTAAATGAATAGTAATCATGTTTGTTGACAGGTGGGCTTTGAATACATTAGACACGATGATATGTCAGATCATAATGTTCCTTTTCAATTGCTTTTCGTAGTTTTTCTCGTCTTGTGACAGGTGTGAGTGTGGGTGTGAAATTGAAAGGATTACAAAGGCCTACATCCACACCCACTCATCTATACCCACCCATCCACACTCACCCATCCATGCTCACACCACACACCCACACCTACGCGCATCCAACGCCCACGCCAACACACGCACACCCACGCCTACACCCTTACTCACACATCACACCTCACCAAACATCCACCACACCCATACTCATACCCACTCACCACACCCACACCCACACCCCACACCCACACCAACCGTTAACATTTTTCGAGATCCACGATGGGATCGTGGTCAAGAAACATCTGGGAAAGATCCATTTCTTACATCTGAATATGTCTATGCATTAGTTCAAGGTTTACAACGTGTTGAAGATGAACACTATTTGAAAATAACAGCTGATTGTAAAGCATATAATGCATACGATTTAGAAAATTGGATTGGTACTGACCGTTTTCATTTTAACGCAAAAATAAGCGATCAAGATCTAATCGAAACATGTATTCATGATGCTCATGTTGCAAGTATCATGTGTAGTTACAATACAATTAATGGCATACCGAGTTGTGCTAATCAATTTGAAATTGAAATACTTGCACGGTAAAATCTGCAAGTCGTTGCTTGTTTTTAAAGTCAAATGTTTTTGTTCTTAGAGAATTATTTTATCTCGAGGGTTTCGTAGTCAACGATTCATCATTATACATCGACTGTAGAGGATACAGTTGCTGTAGCTCTTCATACCGGTACAGATCTCAACTGTAGTGATTTCTATTTAAAACATACAAAAGACGCACTCGATAACAAAACTATTGTTGAGAAAGATACTGATCGTGCCCTTGAACATACATTCAATGTTCTAATTCGGCTCGGCTGGTTTGATCCATCTGAACAACCATTTTATCGACAGTTGACAAAAGCCGATGTCGATACACCTGAATCACGAAAATTATCATTAGAAAGCGCTCAATAAAGTATTATTCTATTGAAGAATGTTAATAGATCATTGCCATTACATATTGATCAATTAATAAACAAACAAAATTGCATTGATTGAACCGACGGCAAATGCAACAGAATCAATGCAAGGAAGTTATTTCGGTAAAGCTCCATTTCTTATTGATCCAGTAACAGCAATCAAAGCAATGACAGCAGGTATTTTATTGAGAAAAAAACTCGTTTTATTGCATATTAGTTTAAGGTAAATTGATTGATGTTGAATTTGTGAACGGTTGTAAAATAAAGGATCCCGATAAGAGTGGTTTTTCAGCGGTTATTGAATTGGCTAGATTGGCCGGTATTCTTAATATTCTTTGGTGGCCTAGATCAATCGATTGAATGTGAAAGTGTTGATCGTACATCGATTACCATACCTGATATACAATTTTCTCTCATACACCAACTCGAAAAGGTCGTCCGTTCATCTATTCATGTTGTAATTATGTCTGGTAGTGGTTTAGATTTAACTTACATTCGTGACTCACCTCAATTTGGCAGTCTCATTTGGATCGGCTATGTCGGACAATCAGATGGTTTAGCAATAACTAACGTTGTTTTTGGTCAATATAATCCTGGTGGACGTTTACCAATTACTATGTATTCAGTATTCTATGTCGACGATGTAAGTATGTTTGATATGCAGATGATATCATCGAGCACAAATTCTGATCGAACCTACAAATATTATACTGGCAAAGCAGTATACGAATTTGGAAGTGGTCTCTCCTATACGACATTTCTTTACTAATGGAATAATGATAGTAGTATTTCGTCATCGTATTCGATTTTGTCATTGATAAAAAAAAACTATGATGAGCATCGAGTTCTCATTCGACTATTTCGAGTCAATGTGACCAATACTGGTGATATGTCAGGTGATGATGTTGTCTTGGCTTCTGTCAGATCACGTAATGCAACAATGAATGGAGAAATATCACCAATCAAATAATTGTTTGGCTTTGAACGTATCAGTTTAACTGTTAATCAAACCAAAGAAGTCTTTTTTCCATTAATTGTTCGGCATTTATTAACAATTGCACGAGATGATACCAAATGGCTTCATCCATGTTCATAGGACATTCTCATCGGACAACAACATATGCATACACTTAAATTATGTGGACAATCGACTCAATGGGCATCGAAGAAACATGTTTTTCCATCAAATGAAAGCATTTGACTGTTGAAAATTTTTATTTTTCTTAGTGATAATGATATTTGTTCTATCAACACACATTAGACGTACTGATATTCCTCATGTTTATTATTGAGAACATCTTCTTTGAGCCTTGACGATCGATTAACTTCGATTGATCATTACCGACAACATCATCATCAAAGCTAACATCAATACAATTCAAACCGAGAGGGTGTAGGTGTGGACTATCGTGCAGCACCCTAAACTCAGTCAAAGAGGACAAACAATAAGCAGGATGAGATGAAGAGGAGAAAAAAGCTATTATCATCTACGTCTCAAAGATAATTGAAAACTGATCGATCATGTTACATTGACACAAAAGTATATTTATAATCGAAGAAACCAATATGTTCTCTCTTGTGTAGAAATCTGGATGTTAGTGAAGATGATGATGTTGTCGGTAAT